TCACCAATTCCTTTTTCTGACATATTATAGTATAGAAAAAAATAGATGTTAGTTATGTTATTAGAATTTAAAATTTACTCAGAACTTTAAAAATATACCTTTGGGATTTCTTTTGATTTATGAAAGAAGTCATCAAATTCCTTAAGTTGTTCTTTGGTGATATTAAGAATCGAAATGATATCTTGCTCACTGTAATTTGATTGTCTCAAATCATTCAGAAGTTTACGAAGTCTTTCTCCTTCAATGATATGCTCGACTTGAACACATGCTTTTGGAAGATGTTGATTTTCCAAAGTTGTTTGAACTTTTTGAGTAATTTCCAAATTTGTCAGGTTCTCCATCTATATTGTAAAATTTGTGCTGCACTCTATCTTTTTTAACTAAATCAAATTCATATAACACTTTTTCCCATTTTTTTAAATCTTCATTTTGCTGAAAATTTTCTTTTGCTTCTTCAAATGTTGATATTAACTTACTTTTCTTCTTACAAAGACTTTCAAAAGTTTTTGTCAAAGTTGACAAATAATCCTGCGTAAAATAAAAACATGTACATATATGTATATTATTTCACATCTGATTATCAAAACAAATATATATAAGTATGTATATTTTGCATTAATATTTATTTATATATGTATATTATTTCACTTCTGTTTTGTATATCTTCATCCATTATTTGCTCAATAATAAAGTATGTGTTATGATCTTGAACTCTCTCATATGGTGTGGTTGAGCATGTCCAGACATAATCTTCTATTTCTTTTTGAAATAATTTGAATATATTATGTGTGTAGAACTTTGATGCCTGTACTTCAAATTGAAGATTTGTTTGAATTGGTGGGTTTTTATTTTTGGAATTAAAGTCATTTGTTGATTGAAGATTTCTTTGCTCATCCATTGCAGATTCAAATTTGCACATGAACATAATTAGATTTGAATATTTTGACATAAATCTTTTGAAGAAGCTATTTACACTCTCTTATCTTGATGTTGTCCTCATCAGACCTGACAGTGCAGTGTCTCTAAAATAAGTCGGAATCCAACTTGTTCGAATATTATACATCTCTTTCAGCCATTTATTATCTTCTAGTTTATATCTTTTTATTAGATACTTCCACTTTTCTTCAAATATATCCGGATCAATACAAGAATTCCAAATTAGACCTTGCATTCTTTTTCTAAAGTTAGTCTCATTTATTATTTTTGCAGAAAACTACAAAAGAAAAAGTTACATTTAATAAATAAATTGAAAACATGATATTTAATGTTCACATGTGAATGTTGTTTTAGTATTATAATAACATAGGTGATCAACTACACTTTTGGTGACAATACAGAGTTGGCTATAAAGTATGTTTTATTTTCATATTTTTGTCCCCTTTATACAACTTGATTTTCTTCCTTAATACATTTATCAAGTATGTAGTGATTCATATGTAAATAACAACTGAATCGCATATGAATCACATGTAAATCACATGTTATTCACATATGAATCATATGTAATTCACATGCAAATTACAAGTGAATCACATATGAATCATATGTAAAAATCAAATGAATAATTGGTTATATATCAAGTATGTAGTGAATCATTGGTCATAATATATTGGATGCTTTATTTTAATTTTTTTTTTTGAAAAAAAAAAATACAGGCTTGTATGCATGTCCGTATACAGCTCTGTATACAGTTATATAAACAGATCCCAAAAGTTCAATGCTTTCATCTGTGAATGAATAAATGGGACATTAAAAAAAGTTTTTAATCAAATTATAAGTCAAATTATAAATGAAAACTTATTTAAACATTATAATACAATTTTACCTTATCTGTTAATTTCTTTCCAATGTGCCACATGCAAAGACGATGAGTTGATTCATTAATAACGGTTTCTACAGCTTTAGCCATAGCTGAATCTTGATCAGTGACCACAACATTAGGTTGTGTACCAAGGCAATTGAGAAAGCATTTGAGAAGCCATGTATAGAATTCTGTTGTTTCTTTAGCTATCAAACCAGCACCAATTGTGACACATCTTTTGTGGTTATCAATTGCAGTAAATGGAACAAAGATCATATTATATCTGAAAATCATTAAAATATTTAACATAAATACTAAATGGAAATATTTTAATATATAAATATTAAAGAAATTAAGTATTACTTACTTGTTTGTTTTGTATGTAGCATCGAATGATACCACATCAGAGAATTCTTTGTAGTTTCTTTTTGCTATTGCATCTGCCCAAAACAGTGCCCTTAGCTCATCATCCTCCAACAAGTAATAAAAAGTGAAAGAAGGCACATTTTTACGTCGTTGTGTTAAAAGATTTATCAACATATTTGCATCACTGTCTCCTATATAGCAGTTTAAGTCTCTTGAAAAATTTTTGTAGTCGATTTTCTTTGCTCCTTGTTTACTGTAACCACCCTTTAAACCAGTAACCATGCTATGTGCTTTGCTTGCTCCTATATTTGATGTGCTTAACTGAGTTATAATTGTCTTGTCATAATGATCCAACTTTCTTTTCGACTTTGACATGTGCACTGTACTGTTTGTGTAGAGCTCATGGTTGTGTTTTTCAACAAATGTATTGATGAAAAAACGATCAATATTTTTTATAAATTTGAAACATATCTTTGCTTCGCAAGACATCATTTGGCTTGGATGTTTTCTTTTTTGTCTGCCTTCTACTCCATTCAAAGTGTCAGCATTTTTTTATCTGGTTCACCAGCCCTACTACATATAATATACTTGTATTGTAAAATACCATTAATAGTTTTACTTGATGCAAGTCTGCAATCAAATCCTGCTTTCTTTGCATATATTTGGTAAAACTGAATTCCATGATCTAATGTTTCAAACACCATATCTTTCTTTGGCAGGAATGATTCATCAACTCTTGGGATCCACTCAATTGTTTTTGTGCTACAAGGAGATTTTACTTCTATGCAGCTTAATTCATCTTCATCTTCTGATTCAAAATGTTTTGCTGCAAATTAAATAATATTAAATCAAATCATATATAGGAAAACATGTCATTTAAAATCAAACTAATATTTTAGTTACAATCAAGATTAATATTAATAGAAACTTACCTTCTTCATTATCATTCGACTGGGATGTCGAAGAAATTTGCTCATCCTCTTCAATAATATCTTTGAAAAATGCATATTCAACATGTATATCGTCATGGTTTATGTTAAATTCAGTAGATTCTTCATCAGCATCACCTATTAAAATCATATATTTATTTATCATCGGTGTATGTAAATCACAAGTGTATTACACGTGAATTCATATGTGAATTACACGTGATTTACATGTGAATTACATGTGATACACATGTAAATCACAAGTGTATTACATGTGATTTACATGTAATTCACAAATGAATTATATGTGATTTACATGTGAATCACATGTAATTAAGATATGAATCACATGTGATTCACATGTAAATCACAAGTAATTAAGATATGAATCACATGTAATTAAGATATGAATTACATGTGATTTACATGTAATTCACAAATGAATTATATGTGATTTAAATGTGAATCACATGTAATTAAGATATGAATCACATGTGATTCACATGTAAATCACAAGTGTATTACATGTGAATTCATATGTGAATTACATGTGATTTACATGTAAATCACATACAATACACATATGAATTACATAATTCACATGTAAATAACATGTAAATCACATATGTATTACATGTGATTTATATGTAGTTCACATGTAAATCAAATATAATTCACATGTAAATCATGAGTAAATCACATGTACTACATCTTTGTCAAGAACAGGTTCCTAGAAATTGAAAGTGTAGCTTGGCCTGAACTGGAGACAACTGATATATCTTCTAATTCAGGTATAAATCACATGAATTTTTAATGAATCAACTATGAATAACATATGATTTATATATGATTCATATATGAATATGTGATTCATATATTATTCATATGTGATTTTAATATGCATATCAATACCATACGTTTATTATTAAAAAAATTATGAATCATTACCTGCTAAAAAATTTATCTCGTTTTGCAGATCTTCAATTATTTTTCCTGAATCCATTAAATTGCTGAAAAAATCTCAATTTACATTCAATAAAACAACGTATTAGAAATCGGAATGCTACTTAGTTAAATATACAAATAAAACGTAAAATATTCGGCAATCTGTTTTTCCTTCATTGATATAATCGTAATGAATGAATCGTATGAATTTAAGATAACATGCTAACCTCGAAAGAAATCAATGACGAATCGTATGAATTTTGCTTTGTAATCGATCTCGAATTTGCGTTAACAACTATTTTAATGACGAAATCAATGACGAAAGAAATCAATGAAGAAAGAAATTATGAATTTAAGATAACAACTATTCGATCTATGTAGATTTGTTATGATTTCGTCGTTGATTTTGATAATTTTGAAGGTTAGAAGATGATATCTTGGAAAGAAAATCGTACAGATGTTGTAATACTCAAATAAAACGTAAAAGACAATTTTACCCTTATGATCTTAAATCCAATCCAACGGTCCACTTTTAGTTCTCGGGTTCTCGGAAAACTATGAGTTCTCAACCGATTTCAACCCTATATATATATATATATATATATATATATATATATATATATATATATATATATATATATATTACTTTTAATTAATAAATTAGTTATATTTAATTAGAATTAAAAAAAACGAAAAATTTAAATGTATATAATAATAGTAAAAATATTCCTTTCTAATATAATATATGGTATTTTTATAATATAATTTATAATATGATTGGTAATAAAAAAAAAAAGAAGAAGAAGAAGAAAAAACTAATTGGGTTGTTTGGTAAGTCATGGGCCTGAAGTTGCTTCCATTCGTACTTATAGTGTATATATAAATATGACCCAATATGATTTAAAAGCTATCCATGAAAGCCCAATATATATGAACGTCAGTTAAAACCCCTTATACAACCGCCAATCTCATTCTCTCTGCCGTTTCTGCCACTACTACCGACCGCCATGGCTGCTTCCGATGACTACACAGACACCATGAACTTAAAAATCGCAGAGCTAATGAAGGAAGTCCAGCTCGATTACTCTTCTACAACTACTAAAACCGTCAACGATGCCATTTCATCTATCAAAAAACGCATCAATAAAATCCCTGAAGATATACAGGTGCTTAAACCTTAACCTTAAACCCTAAACCCAAACTATTAGTTTGTGATAATTTGGTATTAATTTTTTCTGAATGTGTGAATTTGCTAGGTTAAGGCCGATTTGGCTCCGAAATTTATTAAAGATATTGGTGCAGACAAGGTCGAATTCAAGTTCAAAAGGCCTACATCGATTAATATTGGTGGAAGCTATTCGATTCAATGTATCGTGAAGCCTGATGTAAATGTTGATCTTTACATTCGGTTGCCGAAGGTAATTATATGTATTGTGCTAATACTAATTACTAAGAGCAGTCATGTGAATTTATCTGTTATAGTTCTGGAGAAAATAATGCCGTATTTATGTTTTGCAGGAGTGCTTTCATGAGAAAGACTTCTTGAATCATAGGTACCATGGCAAAAGATACCTGTATCTTTGCATAATCAAGAAATATTTGGAATCTTCTTCCATAGCTCAAAAAGTAGAATGGGCCTTCTTTCAAAATGAAGCCAGAAAACCTATTCTTGTTGTCTATCCTGGTGATTTCTCATTCTATCCTTCTGTTTCTAACTTCTCAGTCTTTTCAACACTAGTTTTGTTGATAGAAATGTTCTCTACATATTGTAGCTGTGAAGTCTACTGGAATTCCAGGGTTTTCTGTAAGGTTGATTCCAACAGCTGAATCCCTTTTTAATGTCCAAAAGTTAAACATAGAGCGCAACAATCTTCATGTTTTGAGCCAAGGTAGCGCCTTTTATCATTTAAACACATCTTAATTTATCATTTTGCGATTATTTTCACCTTATGAACTTATCTACTCTTAAGGCGATTCTGAAGCTACTCCTGTGTACAACAACAGTATATTAGAGGACATGTTTATAGAACATGGTGCAGAGTTTGTCAGCAAGGCTTTCAACGGATGGAAAGCTTTAGGAGAGGCTTTAGTTTTGCTAAAAGTATGATAAACTTTATTTAAATTCTAACTGTTTCATGCACCATATCCATGATTTTGTGAAAGAAATTTAGCTTTTTCTTTTAAATGATTTCAGGTGTGGGCCCGACAGAGAAGTTCTCTACACACTTATGACTCCTTAAATGGCTACCTTATCTCAATCTTAGTAGCATACCTTGCCTCAGAATCTGGTAAATTTCGCATTAACGAAGCAATGACAACAATTCAGATCTTTCGTATCACATTGGACTTTATGGGTATGTTTATCTCCTTATGGAAATTCAGTGATTTAGTAGATTCTAAACTTATATTGCTAAAGTTCTGATTTTGAATTTTTCAGCCACCTCTAAGTTATGGGGCACTGGGATTTTCTTCAAGCCTCAAGGAGGAGATGATATGTCAAAGGAGGTATGATAATATCAATGATAACAACACTCTCTCATCTTCTTGAGATTTTTCTTGTTTTGTTTTATGTAGAGTTTTATTTTGCTCTCACAGTTTGACTTTTTTATTTTGTAGGAAAGGAAGAGATATGTACAGTATTTTCCTGCAGTTATATGTGATTTATCAGCTCATTTCAATCTAGCGTACCGCATGACAAAGAGTGGTTTGATTGAGGTACAACTAACACCTCATTATCATTTTTTATATGCCCAAAGACAAAAGACATATACACCCCTAACGTTTTCTCTGAGTTTCAGCTTCAAGAGGAGGCTGCTTTGGCACTCAAAATGTATTGATAAATGCAAAGAAGGGGGATTTGTTGAGCTATTTATGACCAAGATTGATTTTCCTGCTAAATTTGACTATTGCATGAGGTAACTCAATCATACCCTTTTCTCCATTTCTTCCAATATTTTGAAATTCTCCATTTATTCTTTCATGTATGCTCTTTTAGATTGAACTTAAAGGGGAAGGTTGAGGTTTCTACACAAGGGTTCTGTTTAGATAATGAATCATGGAGATTGTATGAGAGCAAGCTTCATTCTTTGCTTGTAGAAGGCTTAGGAGAAAGAGCAAAGTTTGTACGTGTGACCTGGCGTAATACATCATCAACACACAATATGAATGATGTATGTTATTTGACTGATTGATTTCATGTATTTGATTACACTTATAATTATAATAATGACATCATTATTATAATTTTAGGGTTTGTCAGTGCTTGATAAAGAGCCATTAATAGTTGGAATTTCTGTAAGTCTGCCAGAAGCTTTTGATGAGTATACACGTGGGCCCTTTTTTGGGAACAAAGAAGAGGTATTTGACTATTTTGTATGATGAATTTATATTGATAGTTTGATACACACAATCACAATCACATATGCTAATTGTATTATTATCTTTATTTTATATTTTTGTAGGCTTTGAAGTTCAGAAAGTTTTGGGGAGACAAAGCAGAGTTGTATCAATTTAAAAGTGGCACCAGGGAATGTGTTTGTAAGTAATTTCCTTCAAACTCTTTCAACTTTCTAACTTTTTCTTTTTTCTTTCTGCAAATTTAATATATAAATTCCCTATTTTGATAGTGTGGAAATGCAAGGCATCAAAGAGATATCATATTATAAAATGGGTTACTGAGTATGTTCTTAATCGACACCTGTCATTGACACAAGAAAACATTACACATGCTGTTGACCAACTTGACTTTTCATTGGTTCATGATGATGGAGGTAACAATATTACAATAACATTAACACTTATCAATATTACACATACAATTTCATCATTCCAAATATTCAGATTTTCATCATGTGATACAGATTTAGCTTCAGATGGAAGTTTGAATGAAAGCTTTGGAACTTTGTCTAAACGTTTACGCCTTTTAAGTGATGTTCCTTTGTCAATCACCAGTGTGCAGCCTCTAGACTCAGGTTAATTTTGTAATTTATAATTTAATATCTGAATCTTTATCCCAAGTTTCATATTTCATATGTAGTACTATTCACAGCTTTTAGACATACATCTGTTTTTCCTCCAAGACCTCATCCTTTAGCAAATGGAACCAAAGTTGGAAATAAAATCATATCAACATGTATACCATCTCTTGAAGTTATGATTCAGGTTCTAACTTTGAGAAATTACTTTTTATTTTCTTCATATTTGAATAATCTTATGGAGTTAAATTTAATTAATTCTTTTGTGTAAAATGTAGTTGGAAGGTTCAGGAAACTGGCCAATGGATGATGTGGCAATTGAGAAAACTAAATCTGCTTTCTTGTTAAGAATTGGAGAATGGTGAGTTGAAAACTTGAAATATTATGTTTTTTTTTTTAGTATGATGTGGAAAATAATTTTGATTTATGCTGTATTTATATTTTATAGTCTTGAGAAGGATTATGGAATGAAATATTGTCCATATGAAGAAGGTGTTGATGTTTTTATATCTGGATACGTTTTTCGCTTGAAGATTTTGCATGAAAGAGGCCTAGACTTGTTAAATGGACAATGTAAGAAAATGTTTTTCATTTTCATTTTGAAATTTTAATGAAAGGTTAAAAATAAGAACTTGGTAGAAACATAATGATTTGGATTTTATCTTTTAATGCAGCTGAAAGTTATCAAGTAAAGAGAGTTTCATCAATTGACAAACATCTTTTTCTTAGAAGTCAACATTCTAGCATGATTAATGGTCTTTCAGGTCGATATCCTTTATATGGACCAGTTGTTCAGTAAGTTTCTTCTTTTCCCATTAACAAGGGCAAATTCGTAAAATGTTGAAGTCTCATTTAATGATTTTAATCCTTGTTTTTTACCATGAAGATTGGCAAAAAAGATGGGTTTCTGCACATTTATTTTCAGCTTCTTTCATGGAGGAAGCAATTGAGCTTGTGGTTGCATCAATTTTTCAAAACTCATTACCATTTTCAGCTCCTTGTTCACGAATTTCTGGATTCATGAGGTTTTTGAGACTTTTATCTGATCATGATTGGATGTTCACTCCTTTAATTGTTGATATAAATGAGGATATGACTCCAGATGATGAAAAAGAGATCAATGTAAGCAATCTGCAATCACTACTTTCTTATTTATTTACTATTTCTGACAGAAGTAGTTATAATTATTAATTATTTATTTTAATTTACAGGAAAAGTTTTTGTTAAGTAGAAAAGCTTATGAAGAAGGGACTGGAAGTGTAACATCTGCCATGTATTTAGCCACTGCTTATGATAAAGCATCTGAAACATGGACCACTTTGTCTCCAACTGTTTCAGTAAGTGTCTTTTCACTTTTACCTATTTGCCCTTCTTTTTTCCTCCCTACTCCTCTCATATTGAAATTGAATATTGTGAAAATTGTTTCCAAATGTAAGGGTAAAATGGTCATTTGGTCTCATTCAGATGGTTTATAGAGTATGGAAAAAAACAAATATTTCGTATCCATAAGTGGCTTTTCACTTTTACCTATTTGCCCTTCTTTTCTCCTCCTCCCACCTCCTCTCATATTAAAATTGAACATTGTGAAATTTGTTTCCGAATGTAAGGGTAAAATAGTCATTTAGTATCATTCAGATGGTTTATATAGTCTAGAAAAGTAACAAACATTTCATATCCATAAGTGGCTTTTCACTTTTACCTATCTGCCCTTCTTTTTCCTTCCGACTCCTCTTGTTTTGGAATGTAAGGGTAAAATGGTCATTTAGTCTCATTCATCTTTTTGAACTTTTGATGTGATAGGAGGTGAAAAGGTTGGGGGTTTATGCAAGAAGTAGTTCAAACTTGCTGACTAAACTAATTATGCAAGATCAGGTGGATTCTTATGGATGGGAGGTGAGTTTTGAGTTATTTACTTTTTATTTATTTATTTATTTATTTATTTATTTATTTATTTATATGTTAATGAAGATAATGAATGTTGTTTTGCAGTGTATATTTAGAACTCCATTGAACAACTATGATGCAGTGATTCTTGTACATAGAGAAAAACTGTCTTACCCTGAACGCCTTCTCTTCCCATCTGAACTTAATCATGGTATAATAATTATAAATAAATCTCTTCATTCATATGATGGAATCAGGGAATGAATGGAATGATTGATTCCATTCCTTTGAACAGGGAAGCTTGTAGCACAAGGAAAAGCAAGCAAGGCTTTTCAGCCACTTTTATTGACCAACAATAAGACAAAGGATCCTCAAGATCAGTTGTACATCAACTTTGATCCATTAATGTGTTATATCAAACACTTGGAGGCAAGTAACAAAAAAAATCTTTAAATTCATTTTTAAGATTTATTTAATAACTGATTATTTTTAATCATTGCTATTTGCAGAGTGCTTTTCCAGATAAGTTTAAGTTGTGGTATGATTCATTAGGTGGTGATGCAATTGGGCTCACTTGGGAAAAAGAGAACTCAAAGGTAAAATTAATAGTTTTTTTTGCATAAATTGGTTAAAGGGTGGATAATTACGTATTTACCCTTATGGGTTTTTCAGAAGAGGAGACGAGAAGATGATGGGGATGTAAAGAAGAGTGTGAGGGATACTTTGAAAGATGTTGGTGAAGTTGGAAAAGGATTTGTGAAGAGTGTTTATTTGCTAAAAGAACCAACAAGGTAATAAGGAGATTGGAGGAGGATACCATTATTTTATTTACCACCAAGTTAATGTTGTAGTAGTAGTGCCCCGGTTTTGAAATATTGAAGGGGAGAGTTTCACTATAATTTATTGATTATATGTAAAAAAGTATTTTGCTGTTTTATTAAATTTTACTTGAAAGAGGTTTTTGTAAGAGCACGGCAAGTAATGATTCAGAATGTTGTTGAGTAAGATTTAAAGAATATTTTCATCTAATTTCAACTATTTGTATTAATATTATGCAAAAATATAAGCAGACATGACAAACGTGTATGGGTTGAGAGGGCTTGACTATAACCCGAACTGTTTCATTATCGTGTCGTGTCAATCTGTTTATTTTTGTGTTGGGTTTCAGATTAGTTTTAGTTTTTGAAATATGTTGTGTCATGTAAGGTGTAAGGTCGAAACACTAAACATGTATATTTTTATAAGGAATATATATTTTATGGTACAATGTCTTACTAAAACGTATTTTGACAGTTATAATAGTGTAAACAATAGACAAGGAGTGGGAAAAACGGTATGTTGAGTGTTGAGAATTAAGAAGTTTTTTTTTAAAAAAAATATTTCCATTCTTTAAAATAAATACTAACCAACTACAATTTAACCCTATAAATATTATATCTTCTTTATACAACTTTCACACAACTATTTTACAATCTAAAATTCTACACAAGCACAATTGAAAAATTGGAATATTTTTCATCTCCATCTTTAGACGACGATGATATGTTTTTCAACACATTTTTCAAATGAAAACCGATACACTTCATAGTCTTGTACAAATTGTACCTGGTATCCCACACTATTTCACAACCCTTTTGGAAATACAAAACAAAGAAGCACTCGTCAATCTTCATCAGGATTTGACAGAACACATATACCAAATGCAAGGGCCAACGACAATGAAATCGACGACAACAAGGAATACATTTTTTTATTATGTAATGTAAAATTTTAATTTGTATTATCTTATTTTTTTTTAATTTTAAAAATGCAAAATTACTATGATGTTTTTATGTTTAATTGATGTTATATTTTATGAAAGTCATTTTTTATCTTATATAAATGTTGTATTTAAACAATATTAATAAAATAAACTCATCTTTGACTGCTAACAATTCCAATGTTGATAATTCTAATATTCAGGCTATTATGCCTATTTTCTCTCAACCTGATCATGAACTCATAAACAAGATGAAGTCTAATATATCCCTTGTTTGACTTAAATCCAAAGATATGATGCTAACGTTCCAAATGAACAAGCCGCTCCGACTAAGGGATACTTATAGGACTCTGAGAGAAGCAAACACTTCTTTGCTTTGCAAGAATTTTGTTTTTTAGGAATTCTTCTCTAAAGTCTTATGCTTCGATATTCTGATGTGGAGTAGTGAATATTTTCTAAGTATGCAGTGTAGAAGTGAAATTAATGTGATACCGAGGTGACAACACTTTTTAATGTGGATGGGGAGCATGCATACTCAAAATCTTAGGCCGACCGATATACTCACAACAAAGTGAGTTTGTGCCCATGGTGACATACCACCACGAGTGTGCACACCATCTCTGTGCATTGTGGTCGCCATGGTTGTGATGGATTGTGGTCACCACCACATGTGACAACGCCCAATGTTTCTTTATCCTTTTATCTTATCTTTTTATTTTCTACGTCGTAATATCTAATATGTAAACCATTGTTGGTGTTGAAGAAGATGATGGTGATGGAGGCTGAGGTGATTTGTGGTTAATGACATACAATGACCTTATAATTACGGAAAATTTGTTCTCTTTTCATAGGGTGTTTTTTGATTGTTTATTTAACTTAATAGGTAGTTTTTGATAAAAATACTTATTAGCTTATGTGATGATAAAAAAATAATTTATATTGTTTGTTTAAAAAATATTCATACAAGCTTATAGTCATTTTGTTAAAAATAATTTTTTTAAAAATAAGGAGAAAGTTATTTTTTATTTTCAAAAACACTTTTCAAATTTCAAAACATTTTTTAATAAAGTCGATAAAAGAAATTTAAATTTACGATGATCAAAAGGAGTGACATTGAAATCAAATCCAACCTACGAGCTTATTACAGGTTAGCTGCCTCCCCCTGCGCCTGATGCTCAGCGATTGTGCCCAAGAACTCCCCGATTTCAACCCTCAAGATCGATTGAAGCCCCTGCGATCCTCGGCATCTGGATTTTTTTCTGCGACTGCGATTCTCGCCATCTGATTATACTTCCGATCCTTTCCTGCGAGGGTTTTTCACCGAAGATGGGGCTCCTCAGCATCATTCGGAAGATCAAGAGGAAAGAAAAAGAAATGCGCATTCTTATGGTGTATGTAATCGTTTTCTCTCCTAATACAATTATACGTTTGTTTGTGTTAGTATAATTCATCATTGAATCAACAGTGGACTTGATAATTCGGGGAAGACAACAATCGTATTGAAAATCAACGGCGAAGACACCAGTGTTATCAGCCCTACTCTTGGCTTCAACATCAAAACCATGACCTATGATAAGTATAAGCTCTCGCTCTCTGTTATACACACACACACACATTTCCTTTGATTCTGTGATTCGCTGCTATTTTGCCTGTTTTTTCTTTCCATTACTCCATATCTTCGTGTTGTTAAACGCAGAATGAACACTTACACACAAAATCTATGAACAATGTCATCTCATTCCCCCATAGTTTAATGTTATTTACAGAAGTTACAAGTACAATGATGATTGAAAATGAAAACTAATTCACCCTTTTACTTTGAAATGATTAGCAATCCGAATCATATTGTAGCTAGCAGAAACGATTTAGAGTGTTTTTCTCTCTTCTTTTAACTAACTACATGAGTTACTGATTAGTTTGATGATTAGCTTCATCACTGTAGCCATGGAACTTGGTTTATTTTATTGTATTAACTGAAAGTTAATGCTAGGTATACCCTTAACATATGGGATGTTGGAGGTCAAAAGACTATAAGATCTTACTGGAGAAACTACTTTGAGCAAACAGATGGATTGGTTTGGGTTGTAGACAGTTCGGATCTTAGAAGGCTGGATGACTGTAAATTTGAGCTGGATAATCTATTAAAGGAAGAGGTAGGTTTTTTTTTTTTTTTTTTTTTTTTTTTTTTTTTTTTTTTTTACATTCATCTTGTTGTTGCAAATTAGTTATTGCATGAATTTGGAAATGAATCAAATCTTTATGAACATGGTTCTTGAATCTTTATAGGGGCCTTAGTACTTTCACCATTTTATTGATTATGTTCATAAAAAAATAATAGTTCGGTGGCTAAATTGATAAAGTGATGAAAGTATGTTGTGTTTTTCTGTATTTTAGAAAAATGGTTCTTTTTAGACAGTTGGAAAAATTGAAGGACAAGAATTTAATCTTCTCAAACATTATTGATAATTTATATTAAGTAATTTGATTAAAGTTGGATAGAAACAATGTAATTGATATATGATTATGAGAATATGAATCTTCGCCTTATGAAAAAAGAGTGAACATACAGAATTACAGATACATCTTTTTATATCAAATATATGTATGTAACAATACACATGAATACTTAAATAAAAGTATTTAAGATATGGAAGAGAGAAATAAAAAGGGCAAATTGGTAAAATTCACGACTTATTGGGGAGAAATTTTTTGTTCCTAGTTTTTTTTTATCAAAAAGAATCACTCATTTCTTTTTTGTGATGTTGATGTAGAGGTTATCAGGAGCTTCATTACTTGTTTTTGCTAATAAGCAAGATATTCAGGGTGCTCTTTCACCCAATGAAATAGCTAAAGTAAGCCCCTGTTTTTGTTTTTATTTTTCTCATTAAGTGATGTCTGGATAAAAAAATTCTCAACTTTCTCTATTAAGAGCAAAAAGAAACACCCAAAGTTTATTGGAAGCATTAATTAAAACTTTAATTTGGGAGATTGCTAATTGTGTATAAAATCTTTAAAGGTATTGAACTTAGATGCAATGGATAAAACTCGGCATTGGAGGATTGTTGGGTGCAGTGCTTACACAGGAGAGGGATTGTTGGAGGGATTTGATTGGTTGGTTCAAGACATTGCTTCACGTATTTACGTTCTTGATTAGTGGAAAACTTTGAAATGAAATTTGGAATTTATGTGGAGTATGATTAGGGTTTTTAGCCTTGCTCAAATTGTTAAACATTAATAATCAAATCTTGTAATCATGAAATATGGAGGAATCTTGAAAGTTTATTACAAATGGTGCAACTTATGTAAAGATTATTGCAACGGCTCTTTCATGCTTCCATATTCATTTTAGTGGGAAGCATGGAAGAGCCTTTCTTCAATGTATCTTTGACTTATTTTCTTATGTTTAATGTGAACAATAAGTAGTTTATATGTTAGATTTTTTTTTAAAGTTGTTTGACTTGTTATTGATAAGCTCTTAATAAGTTTTCCAATATACCCATATACATTAGTTTTTAGTTTTATATTTAAATATCATGTCATTTTATATTTGTCATCTAATTTATCAGCTACCTTGTTTATCCTACAAAAGCTAGATATTTAGCTAAAAGTTAATTTGCTATATACATAAACTTGTACAAAAAACCATAAATGAGCACAAATCCTTGATTTTGTAAATAGGATTTTTTTTTTCACGAAAAATCATCTCATTCTTGAGCTCTCAAACTTTAACTCTTGAACTTAAAATAGATGTAAGACCTCAAATATTCTTTTATATACAAACTATTTCATAGCCAATATAAGAAGGTAAATCACAATGTCTTCAAAACAAGTATAATCACGTCTACATAAGTGTATTTTTACATTTATACCACTAGAACAAACGTGCATGAATTTGCTTTCTATAATTCTATACAACAACCCAACACAATTGGATAGAGGTACATACGTCATTTCACATTCATTTGATTTTTATAGGGCCCAATTCGGTGTTTAAAGGCTTTTTTTGTCATTTTCTATTTATTATAACTTTAGTCGCATAAAAAAAAAAAACAAAACAAAGAGGTTGTACGGTATTTGTGCATCATGTGATTGTACTATGATGCTTATAAACCTGTACGAGACTAACCGCCATCCATAACCGAACGATGCAGTTGCAGATATATATAGTACGCCACATACGGCGTCGTTGTGGAAACAACCTGACTAAGGTTATGTTCATCGTTGCTCATAATTTGAAGGAGCAACACAAAAATGGTGCACACTGCATACGATTCTCGCGAATTGCTCAATGATTGTCCGAAGAAGATCAATGCCGTCGAATACTACGGCGCAAAGCTACTCCTCGCTTGCTCCGACGGATCCCTACAAATATATGGTTCAGAATCCGCCAATCGATCTTCCTCCTCCGATCGCCTGTATCAAACGCTGGAACTCAAGAAGGAACTGTACGTGCTTGAAAGAAACGTCAATGGATTCTCGAAGAAACAGGTGTGGTCAATGGAGGTATTGGCGTCAAGAGAGCTTTTGCTGTCTCTATCGGAGTCAATTGCGATCCATAGGTTACCCAATTTGGAGCCGGTAACGGTGATTTCGAAGGCAAAAGGAGCCAGTGCATATTCATGGGAAGATCGCAGAGGGTTCTTGTGCTTCGCTAGGCAAAAAAGAGTTTGCATTTTCAGACACGATGGTGAATTTTTGTTTGATTTCCAATTGAGAGTAAGTGCAAATGTGAATTTCGGAACTATACATTTACCCTAAATCTGTTTTTTATCTCTAGGAGTGAGGGGATTCGTGGAGGTGAAAGAATTTGGTGTTCCAGATACAGTCAGATCAATGTCTTGGTGTGGGGAAAACATATGTGTGGGAGTTAGAAGAGAATACACGATACTGAATGCCACAAATGGTGCACTATACGAGATCTTCCCATGGGGGAGGATTGCTCCACCTGTAATGGTGCCTCTTCCATCGGGAGAACTTCTTCTAGGGAAGGTACTATGCATTCTCATCATTTTAAATGCCATCAAAGGATCATAATTACATCATATATGAATATGAACTAATGATCTGACATTTTTGTCAGGATAACCTTGGTGTGCTTGTAGACCAAAACGGTAAGCTCATTCAGGAAGGCAGAATTTGTTGGTCTGAGCCACCCTCAAGAGTTGTCATTCAGAAACCATATGTTATTGCACTTTTACCAAAACACATTGAGGTATCTCAACAATCTACACAACCAAATTGAATACTACTTTCTTAATTCCATCATAATCTTTAAAAATCAGTATCTACACATTCTATTCCACCTAAATATTTCAGATACGCTCTTTGAGAGTCCCTTACCCACTGATACAAACTATTGTTCTACGCAATGTACGCCATATTCAACAAGGAAATAATGGGATTATCGTTTCCTTAGAAAGATGTTTATTTGGATTGTTCCCTGTTCCTCTTGGTGCACAGGTTTGTTTCATACTAATCAAAATAGTTCTGTATGTAATCTTATGTAAGTTGTATGCTTATTTTATTACACCATTTTCTTGAAGATTCCTGGAAGTGTATGCAAATTACCGTATGTTTAATGCAGATTGTACAACTGACAGCATCTGGAAATTTTGAAGAAGCTTTAGTATTATGTAAGATGCTTCCACCAGAAGATTCAAGTCTACGAGCCTCAAAAGAGCAATCAATCCATATCAGGTAATTAAGAGTTTATAACATGAAAACTTTTGATTATGGGTAATGATGACCTGTTTTTTGTCCAATTCTACAGATATGCACACTATCTGTTTGAAAACGATAGCTATGAAGAAGCCATGTATCATTTTGCAGCATCTCAAGTGGAAATAACCTATGTGCTTTCTTTATATCCATCTATTGTTCTTCCCAAACCAGTTGACAAAAGTACTGATGTTAGTGGGGAGTCAACCTTATCAAGAGTCAACTCTGGTACAACTGAATACTATACAGACAGTTCTCCAAGTTCTCAAATCAGTCAAATGGAATCTGATGACATTCCTGCTCTTGAACCCAAGAAAATGAACCACAATACTTTAACAGCTCTCATAAAATATTTGAAAAAAAGAGGCCCAACATTGTTGGAAAGGCGGCTGCTGAAGGCACAGAGGAAGTTGTTTCAGATGCTGTGGGCCAGACTACACGTTCCAAGAAATCAAACAAGGTAAATCAACTCTAATAACTTAACTTTTTCCACATGGGTAAAAAAAATTGAAACTTTTTTGTAATTTTGATTTCTTTTTGTGTTTTTAGGGACGAGTTAATATTCCTACTGACTCAGGTGCTAGAGAGATAGCAGCAATATGTGACACTGCACTTCTGCAAGCTTTACTTTTGACTGGTCAAATTGTTGCTGTTTTGGAATTACTCAAGGGTTTTAACTACTGTGATATGAAGATATGTGAGGAGCTGTTGCAGAAAGGAAATCATGATGTTTGTTTGTTAGGGCTTTATAAATACAACTCAATGCATCGTGAAGCTCTTAAACTTCTTCATGAATTAGTGGAGGATTCCAAATTAGATCAACCTAAAATCACTACCAAGAATAAGTTCAAACCTGAGATGATAATCGATTATCTAAAAGTAAGTTCATAATTCTCTTATTATGTCAAACACAATCTAAGACAAAGTTTTGTCTGTATTGGATAAATGATGTTTTTGATGGTTTTCATATGCAGCCTCTATGTGGGATTGATCATATGCTTGTGTTAGAATTCTCAACATTTGTTCTTGAAAGTTGTCCTACAAAAACAATTGAGCTTTTTCTATCAGGAAATATCCCTGCAGATTTGGTTAATTCTTACCTAAAACAACATGCCCCTACCTTACGTGCCACATATTTGGAACAAATGCTCTCAATGAATGAAGATGGGATCTCACCACATCTTCAAAATGAAATGGTAATTCATTTCATTTATTAACACAAAATTTAACTTTAACTCTTATGTGAATGAAGTTATGATTTTTTTTTAGGTGCAAATTTATCTTTCAGAAGTGCTTGATTGGCATGCTGACCTCACTGCTCAAAACAAGTGGGATGAAAAACTGTATATTCCACCAAGGAGAAAACTCATAACTGCATTACAGGGTATTTCAGAATATAATCCTGAAGCTTTTTTAAAAAGAATCCCACCAGATGCTTTATATGAAGAAAGGGCAATCTTATTAGGAAAAATGAATCAGCATGAACTCGCATTATCCATATACGTTCATAAGGTATTATTTTGGTTGTTTCTTTTTTACTTAATCTGGACTTAATGGTTCAAAAGGGTAAAACGGTCATTTACTCCAGACTGGTGATGTGGAATTCTGTTACGATTACAGCTTCATCTTCCTGAATCGGCCCTATCATATTGTGATCGAGTATACGAGTTGGGAGGAGCTCATCAACAATATGGAAAAGCTCAAGGAAACATATACTTAACTTTGATGCAAGTTTACATGAACCCTAGAAAAACAACAAAAAACATCGAAAAAAGAATCACGAATTTGGTAACTTCATCGAGCACTGGTAATTTAAAGAGTGCTTGGTCATCAGTTAGGGGTAAAGGAAAAGGGTTAGGTAAGAAAATTGTAGAGATAGAAAGCGCAGAAGATTCTAGAATCAAAGCAAGTAGTGGTGAATCTGGGAGAAGTGATTATGATACAGATGAACTTATTGAGGAAAGAAGCTCAACAGTTATGCTTGATGAGGTGCTGGATCTATTAAGCCAGAGGTGGGACCGGGTTCATGGAGCAAAAACTGTTAGACTCTTGCCTAAAGAGACTAAGCTACAGGTTAGGTTACACTTACATTACAATTTACACCTCTCCTTTCTCTTCTATTGCCAAAAATGGCTAAAAACTATTTTCACTGTAAACAAAATACCATTTTTAATTTTTTATATGGTTTAATATCTGAGAGGTAAGGTACTAAATATACAGGTTACCTAAATTTTAATTTTTACAATTTTGGTCAAAGTTTTAATATTTGTTATGAATTTGGTCCCAACTTTTTTACAAATGTGTACAAAACTTTTTTACAACTTTGTTTTTACATTTTTTTTTACAAAATGGTTTTTTTCTTACAAATTGGTTTCTAAACATTTGTTTTCTAAATTTTTTACGTATTCATTTTTTAAATGGTTTTTATAACTTTTTTTATAAGAATGTTTTTTTTTACAAATTCGCTTTTGTGAAAATGAATATGTGCATGCTTTTTACAACATTTTACATGTTTTTTTCACAAACTTTCATGGTTTTTTTTCACCACCTTTACATGCTTTTTACAAAAAAAAAAAAAAAAAAAAAAAAAAAAGGTTATATAAACAACTTTGTAAAAGAACGAATTTATAAACGAATATGTAAAGAAGGTGTTTTTACAATCTTTACATGCATAAAAGCGAATACAATTTTTTTTTACAAAACAAATTTGTAAAAAAAATCATTTAAAAACAAAGTTGGGACCCAATTTGTAACAAAAATTAAAACATGGGCCAAATTTGTAAAAAAGAAAAGTTGAGTAACATGTAAACTTGCTATAACAAGTCACCGTGACCAATTTGGAACAAGTTTCATAGTATCAGAATGTTAAAGTCTGTAAAAAGAATGGCATTTTGGACACATTGAAAATAGTCACTTAAAAAGACCAATTTATTAGGTTTAACCCTTACATAATGTGGGAAGCAAGTATTTTAATTAAATGAAAGCATATTGCTATTCCAGAGGTTGTTTCCATCTCTGGGACCACTCATGAAGAAGACGAGTGAATCATGTCGGAATTTTCAAGTCATCAAGAGTTTGAGACAATGTGAGAACCTACAGGTATATTTATATATGTTTAATTAATTAATTACCTTCTCGTGTTACATATAATGTCATCCAAATACAAAACAATTTTTACAGGTTAAAGACGATCTGTATAAGCAAAGAAAAGGAGAATTGAAGATCACGGGTGATAGTGTATGCTCCCTTTGCAATAAAAAGATTGGAACGAGTGTTTTTGCGGTGTATCCAAATGGAAATACCATTGTCCACTTTGTTTGTTTTCGAGACTCGCAGAATATGAAAGCCACCAGAAAAGGATCCTTTTTAAGGAAGCGATAAAAACATGTTTTTTTTTTCAACTCGAAATCATCGGCTAATTCAATAAGTTAAACATCCAACAGGCTAAAGGCACTGTATATATATATGGTTAATAATGTTTCTTTCATGTTCTAATCGAGCTTCAGTTTTGTCGGGGTTTTTTTTAACACATAATAAGCTTGTGAATTTGTATCTAATTTATGCAATATTTTTTATGCATTTTTTTAATTGTTGCAACAAGATGGTTTATTTTAGGACCAAAATGTGTAATACGTGTAAACTATGTTAAATGGTTGGAACCTGGTGGAAAAGTATTTTTTTTTTTTTACAAATCGGTTTGACAAGTTTACCATTATTGTATAATTGATAAAAAAAAATGGAAAAATTACTCGATAGATAAGACTATGGTGGTGCTTATTCATTTGCCCTTTCAATTAGATTTATATATGGCAAACATCTTTTTAAGTTTGGTTTTTCATTTCCAGTGAATAGAAGCCTATTGGTTGAGGTGTGAAATTCCACACAAGAGGTCTATGGTTCAAACGATGTAACACCCAAATATTACTAATTTTCCGTGAGTGACCTTTCATGTGGGCCTTGAGGAGGGGGTGAGGAACGCTGCTCAGCTGGTACGATTTACCATTTTTTAGATATTCACAAGGGGACAATTTAGGTCATTTGTTATTGGATTATATACATGGATGGAGCATAAATAATATTATGAGCATGCTCGTCGATAACGCAATTTCAAAAGATAAGATGAAAAAATTGTCTAAATATTATGACGGTAGAAATCATTTTCACATAGGGTGCATGACCCATATCTTAAATATTATTGTCAAAGATGGTCTAAAAGGAAAAAACTACTATATGGAATATGTCCAAAAAATTGTCAATATATAAGACAATCCATCCACAGAATTACAAAGTTTAAGAAATGTATGAAAGAATGTGGAGTAAACTCGAACAAGTTCTTTTGTAGTGATTATCCTATGAGATGGAACTCCACTTACGATGAAGACAATCTTGGAGTTAAGAGAGATGTTTGTCGAATGTGAAGTTCTAAGGTATTAAATTTTGATTTTTTTTATTTATAAAAAATTTCAAGTTATATTTTTTATGATTTTCGAATATATTTTATATTTACCAATAACTTTTTTTTTAGATATTTCATATACAAGGGCTTTAGGTAGAGTTTCGGAACATTCAAATTTTGGTGTCGTAAAGAACATATTGGAGAATTCAAGACAAAAACAAAAATTGTATTGACATCGTCAAAACCTTTGGTCCATCTATTTTGGGAAAACTACAATAAAGTCCCTACATATTGACTTCATAATCGATTTAGTCCCTATATTTTTTTTATTCAATTAAGTCCCAAAAACCGATAATCGTATTCAATTTGACCCTTTACCGGGTCAACAGGTCATCCAACTTTCAAAAATTACATTTTTGCCCAGATTTCAAAATTTATTACAAATTTGGTCCAAAATTTACACTTTTGACTCGGATTTTAATTTTTTTTTACAAATTTAGTCCAAATTTTAGAATTTTGTTATGAATTCATCCTAACTTTAGTTTTTTTTACAACTTTTTTCTTCAAAAAAAAAATCGAATGTTTTTTCTTTATAAAATCATATCTATACAAAAAAAACATATTTTCACATAAAAAAATTTATATTTACTTTATTAAACCTTTTTTTTTTGTATACGAAATACCTATTTATAAATTTAGATATTTATTAAGTACATAAATATATACAAATCCGTTTTTATAAAAAAAATGTATACATACATGTATTTTACAAACACCTATTTTATATATAAATATGTTTGAATACAAATGCATTTATTATAAAATAGGTGTTTATAATATTAATATATATATATATATATATATATAATATATATATATATATATATATATATATATATACACACACACACTAGTAGCGTATCCGCGCGTTGCGGCGACGACGATTAGTTTCCGAACGAAAGTTAGTGTCATTCGGCGCTCTTCAAATTGTTTCCTTTCGATTTGTTTCATTTCGACGATTTGTTCATTCCATCGATACCTAGACGATTTGTTTCATTCCGACGATTTGAACAAATAGACGATCATAAATCTCACAAAAAGTAAATTGTGGCTTGGAATACAAAATCGATTACCAATATTGAAATAAAAAATCGAGTGCATACATTCAGAAGATAAAATAAAAGAAAATCCTAACTTTAACCGTTGCTAATAATAAAGAAACAACGATAGATCATGGTGTAGCGGTCTGATGTAGCAGATGTTGTAGGCACGACATTTACGTTGGTGGTGGTTATCTTCTATAATAAAGGTGGAGATGATTGTCAGGAGTAGGATGGAATTGAGATTAAAAGAAAATCCTAACTTGTGAAAATATGTTTTTTTTTGTATAAATATGATTTTATAAAGAAAAACATTCGAATTTTTTTTAAGAAAAAAGATGTAAAAAAACTGAAGTTTGGATGAATTCATAAAAAAATTCTAAAATTTGGGCGAAAAAGGTATATTTTGGACCAAATTTGTAAAAAAAAATAAAATCTGCGTCAAAAGTGTAAAATTTGGACCAAATTTGTAATAAATTTTGAAATCTGGGCCAAAAATATAATTTTTGAAAGTTGGATGTCCTGTTGACCCGGTAAAGGGTTAAATTGAATGCGATTACTGGTTTTTTGGATTTAATTGAATAAAAAAAATATATAGGGACTAAATCGATTATGAGGCCAATATGTAGGGACTTATTGCAGTTTTCCCATCTATTTTCCAGAGAAGTTTTAGATGTCGACAAACATCTAAGAGACAGTTCAGCAAAACCGGACTTTTGTTACATGTATCTGGTAATATAGTTGGAGTATGACAAGCATTACGGTACATTTAACATACCAAACGATTACATGTACTTAACAGTGTTATTGGATCCATAAATGAAATCATCATTTATGGTACATGCCTAATGAAGATGATTTGGATGGTTGGAATGAAGATGAAGCATTTATTTATAACATACAAAGAAAAGTTTAAATATCATGTATCATATCAAGAAGAAAAACATGAATAAATAGTGGCTTGTGATGATGATAACTAGTGTAACGTCTAGGGGTGTTCAAAAATATCCGTATCCGAAATTCCGATCCAAAATTCCGAAATTCTGAATCCGAATTATCCGAAAAATCGGATATCCGATTTTTCGGAATCGGAATTGGATAGTGTTTTTAAGATTTTTTCGGATAATTCGGATATCCGATATCCGAAAATTTTGATTTTTAATTTATACATTATTTGTTATTTTAATCACATGTGTCTTATAAAATAAATGTTAGTAACTAAAACATATTCATAATACCATTAATTAAATACATATATTACTTCATATGCCTTTCTAATTTAAAAATATGTCTTTCTAGTATAAAAACTTTCAAATTTGAACAAAATTTCAAATTTTCGGATATCCGTTTTGGTATCCGAATCCGTATCCGAAATTTCGGATACGGAATCGGATACCAAAAATCAACTATCCGAAATTTCGGATATCCGAATTTTCGGATATTCGGTTATGAACACCCTAGTAACGTCCCAAAATGTTAAGTAAAATTTCATTTTTAATAAGATAAAAACCATCCATATCATTCCATCACAAAATAACCAGAGTATAAAATGTATTCTCAAAACATCAAAGTAAACATAAAATAGATAGTGCAGAATCTCCGGTGGATACAATACAATCACGTCGGAATCTTCCCTTTGCTACCAAGGGTACCTAAAACATTTAAACTTGAAAACGTAAGCACAAAGTTTAGTGAGTTCCCCAAAATACCACATACTATTCATGTACAACCTATTTCAGCCTACGGGCACAACCCTAAGGTCTATTTCAACCAACAGCCTATTTCAGCCATGTGAATGTTACGATCCAACCATAATCTTACAGTCACTTCCGTTGCTACAACCCCACTGTGCAGTCTTTTCTGTCATGATCCAACCATGGTCTTCCATGCAAGCCACAAAGACATACAACATACAATGACACCTAGTGTCCTACGTAGTATAGTGAGAATACTTACCTCTCTACGAAGCAGACTACACCAGGGTTCGTAAAATTGCAAGGCTGGTGCTACACACCACCTAATAAACACAAAAGGCCAAACCTTAGTCTACATCTACAACTACTCATTTAACTAGAACTCAACGGTCAACAGTCAGCCACCACGTAGTGGCCAAATACTAATCACGTCGTGGCAGCTACACGACAAAATAGTCGTGTAAGAAACCCTCCACCACGTCGTGGCGAGCATAATGCCACATCGTGGGAACTGGCCAAAATAGCTTAATGGATTAAGCCCTTAATCCGTTAAGCGCAACACGCATACTTTCCAGAAAGCTTCTTTGTACTAATAAGCTTCATAAAAATCCTTGGTTTATGGACATGCATGTCCAGTGCATATCATGTACTCAAACTAGATCAAAATGAGGGAAATGGGGGTAAAAACCCATGCATGGCAACAAATAAACAAAGAAGTCCAAATATGAACCATATAATGAACTTGGGACTTCATTGATTCATAAAGTTGCAAACTTTATCAAGATGTACCACTAAAATCTTCCCAACATCAAGAACTAGACTCAAAGCCAAGATCTATAAGGAAAAAACAAAAAGGTGATGATTTGAGGGACTTATAAAGGTTCAGAATATACACAAAAGGTTGGAGATGAGCTAGCTTGGTGGTTCAATGCTCTTTAAGACCTTCCTTCTCCTTCAAAAGCCACAAATCACCAAAATGAACACCGAGAGATCACAAAAGGCTAAGGCTTTTTTTTTTTGGGGGGGGGGGGGGGTCTTCTAGAGAAATGGGGGCTGACGGTTGATGAAACACTAGCCCTCATATCCTTTATATAGGGACCAAAGCCCGAAACTTAGGGTCTTGTGCCGACGGTGGCGCCATGCCGTGGTCATTAAATCACCACGTCGTAGTGAGGTGGCACCACCAGACCG